CCCACCCCCCCCCCCCCAGCCTCTGAGCGGGGGAGCGCTTATCTCCCGGTTCCTGAGAAGGAGCACTCCCCCTGCCCTTTCCTTCGGCTGTGCAGGAACCGGGAGATGAGCACTCCCCCGCCCAGAGGCTGGCAGCTGTGCAGCAGGGGAAGGGGCGGGGGAGCACTCTCATTCCCCTGCCTGGAGGTTGTGCAGCTGCACGGAAACCAGGCGGGGTGAGTGCTCCCCCGTCCAGAGGGTGGCTAATTCCCCCCCTCATACACACACCTGTAGAAGCCCCCTCTCCCCCACACAGTTTGAAAACAAGTCTTGTATACCCTGAGGGTTATACTTGTGCGTGGTATATACAAGGTTTTTTTACTCAAACTGCAAAAACCGTGGGGTATATTTGGGTGCGGGTTATTCTCGGGTGCGGGGTATATTTGCTCTAAAAGACAGTAGTATTGACCTGCCCCTTAAAATGATGCAGCTAGGTCCTATCCTGTACTGTACTGGTTTAGAGGAGGTAGGGAGTTTTTTTCACTTCTCACACCCTGATTCAAAGAATGGGGAAGAATCTCTGCTAGCATTCAAAAGAATACTTTAAAAGAGTCAAGACAACTAGTGCTCTTGCTAATGTACTTTGTCTTCAAGGAGCTGCAATATGCAGTTCAAGAGATATGTCTAGCACCCTATTCTAGCAGATTAGCTAATCAGGTTGAATGCTGTGTCTTCACTGTTTTCTGCATTGTGACCCCACCCCCGGAAATAAAATACCTAGCAAAGGAGGCACCTACCTGTATCTCAGTTCCACCTCACTGCACTAGTAAAGGTGGGATTACATAGTTCCTGGAAAATGTGGGTGACAGCAGTGCTACACCAGTGTAATCGCAGCATATTTGCCATCTTGAAATCTTACAAATAAAATATTCATTACTGATGTTCCTGTGGCATTAACTTTATGTAGAAATAAATTTCAGTTCCTGTTAGTCTTTCTTGTAATGAGAATTTATTACATAACACATGACAATGGAAAGTAAATTGTAAGGTGCACCACATTTCTTTATTCTGAAAAATATTTTTAATATATTTCATCTGAATACATTATATTCCAAGTAATTTACATGGCAAAAGGCTTTAAACCTACTAGAACTTTTCTCACTAATCAAAGTTAAGATGGCAGAAAGGTTTCATTTCCATTTAACTGTGCTACTGTATTTTTACCTCTTTGTCTAGTATCAGTGTGGCATGAATTCTTTATCCATTTGGCTTGGTGTGGCTTGCAAGTGATGAAAAAGAGTTTCCTTGATACAAGTCCTTCTTTGTTAATGCTATCGGGAAAGTGTGATATCCAGGGAATACAACTGCACTTGGTGGGTTACTGATAATGTAATCTACCTTCTAAATATAAAACTCATCTTGTCATCTGTTCCATTTAACCTTAAATAGCAGTTTTGTACAACATAAAGGAAACTGTGTATTGTGAATTATACATCTACATTTAGAACAGGGGTCAGAGGAGTAACCGTGTAAGTCTGTATCTTAAAAAAAACAGTGAGTCCTGTGGCACCTTTAAAGACTAACATTCATTTGGGCACAAGCTTTCATGGTTAAAAACCACTTTGTCAGATGCATCTTAAAGCTTGTGCCCAAATAAATTTGTTAGTCTTTAAGGTGCCACTGGACTCAATTTATTTACATCAGGTTCATCTGCTCAGTGCTGCACTAAATCTTTATTTTTCAATTTATTTTCTAATGATTATTTACTGAAGACATTCATTTTATGATTGCTTTATTGCTTGTTTAAAGTTAAGTTGCTCAACTGAATTTACTAATTAAGTTAAAAATTGAACCTAGACTGAAGAGTTAACAGTGCTGTTGTTGGTTGTTTCAAACGATTCCTTTACATTTCTGAGCCATTTTTAGGGTTACAACAGCAGACTCTTTATGCTCTGGCCCTAAGAGTAAGATGACTCAAATTACCATTTTAGTGAGGATATGGAAATTTTGGCAGAACTGATCCATTTCTCCCTCAACATAGCAGAAAGAGCCCATAGTTCCCATTACCAACCCCTTGGCAAGATGAAATGTAGGAGGTGCCATTTCACCCTTCCCATACAAGAATCTGTGGTGTAGACTGTCAACTCTGCATGGCCCAAACTGAAAGAAAAAGTCTACCAGCAAGGCTATGTGGATCTGTGTAAAATTTGATCAAGGTATATGCCCCCATATTTATTTTTCTTCCTCTTTGCCAAAAATAGTCATACTGAAAAAATCTTGACCTCAGTAGTTGGAGCAGGGCCTCCAGAGGGTTATGTGGAACAAAAGATTGAAAATTCACCACAGAAAGTTTTTTAAATCTTGCTCCACAATTTTATGTGCTGCAGTGGCATTTGTTGTGTCCACTTGTATGGCCTTATCTATCACTTCCTCTTCTTGTACTCTCAGAAGAGGTCCCAAAGAAGAGTCCAAATATAAAATAAAATAGCTTACTTTAATGTAAAACTAAATAATTTGTGCATCAAAGAATCTTGTATTTTCTCATCTTGTTCTATATTGGAACATAGAAATTAGTAACAATTGTTCTGATTTTCAGCCATTCTGCAACTCGATTTCTACATTTTTCCATAGCATCTTCAACAGCTGCTAAAATGCCCAGTCCTATAAATCTTTACTTACGCGAGTCATTCCATTGGAAGTAATTTGGACTATCTGTATGATTAAAGGACTGCTTGCATTATTAAGGGTTTGTTGGATAGGATCTCGAAAGGGAAAGTTCATGAGATGGACTTGCTCTTTTCTGATACATCTGTAAGGTACCAAAGAAATCTGCGGTGCTATATTAAACCCAAAAGTCTTATTATTAATTTATATAATGTCATTTGACTTGTTCATATTTATATTATATGGCTGTTCTGGTTACTGCAGTAGGTGGCAAATTACTTTTTAGGTATTTCATCAGGTAGCATAAGAAGAACAATGTTATAAATTCCTGACAGCATTTATAACCTTTTCTAATAGGTCTGAACTACAATAAAACTGCTTTTTGCTTGGCACCTGAACGTCTTGTTGCATCTTCCCACAGTTAATAGGGAGAAGCTTGTTAGTGTAGCATATTCTCTTTTTATACTGATGGAAGTGAATATCATCAGTATGCAGATAATGCGGTGATGTATATCCTATATGTACCAAAGACTGAATAAAAATGTAGATATGTTAAGTACATAAGCAAATAGTGCTTTATTACCCTTTCCGTATATTTACTCAACAGGCTTCATTTTCTTCCCATTACATTATAATTTTCAACAGGAAAGTATTCAAGGATTGAATTGTACAGTATGCTGCTGCCTATTAAGATCGTGTCTGAATTTTGATTGAAACTAGGTTTTTTGACTTTTTTAGTTCCAACAAAGTAACTAAGTTTTTCCTTTTGTCCCAGTTTAGACTTGGATCACTGAAGTTACAAAAAGTCTCAAGTCCAACTGAAGTCATTAAAGAGCTGATTTGCCACTGCCTAGACTGCATAGCAGAACTACATGCCAAAAAGGAGCACTTGCAAAAGGAAAATGAAAGGCTTTTAAGTGATTGGAATGACGTGCAAGGACAGTAGGTTGAAAAATATATCAATAGGATATTCTTTATATATGTGTGCACAGTTTACCTATGCAACAAAGTGTAGGTTATACTGATGGAATAAAGAAAAGTTATTTATTAGTTCCCATAATAGAAGATCTAGAGGACACCAAATGAAGTTAATGGGTAGCAGGTTTAAAACTAATACAAGAAAGTTCTTCTTCACACAGCACGTAGTCAACCTGTGGAACTCCTTGCCAGAGGAGGCTGTGAAGGCTAGGACTATAACAAAGTTTAAAGAGAATCTAGATAATTTCATGGAGGTTAGGTCCATAAAAGGCTATTAGGCAGGGGATAGAAATGGTGTCCCTGGCCTCTGTTTGTCAGAGGCTGGAGATGGATGTCAGGAGACAAATCGCTTGATCATTGTCTTCAGTCCACCCTCTCTGGGGCACCTGGTGCTGGCCACTGTCGGCAGACAGGCTACTGGGCTAGATGGACCTTTGGTCTGACCCAGTACTGCCATTCTTATGTTCTTATGATGGAAACTATTTAAGATCTCTGCAAAATGAAATGCACTCATTTATTTTCTGTTGATAGTGTTTTGGGTTCTAACAGCTTGTAGGCTTCACAGGCGTAGAGGCGGCTTCTTATTTCAAGGTGGCAAGTAGCACCTCAGACTATCATCCCAACTTGATTCTAAAAAGTGTCATGCTTCTCTAAATTGTAAGATGGCTGCAATCATAGAACTTGGAAAGTATGTGCAAATAAGACTAACAGAAATGTATATGTCCATTAAGTTTACTCATTTGTGATTTTACTTTTTCATTACATTTGAAAGCTTTGTTTGAGATGAGTAGCTTATGTACATGGCCTATGGAGATGTGACTTCTATGAAGCAAATTGCATGCAGGCACCAGTGTATGACAAATTTCAGTGAAGTTTTATGTTTTTAGCTGGTGCAATACTGAAATGTAATCCTAGCCAACTTTGCTTAATTCTCACATAATATAGGTAATGCATACTAGAGTGAATTTTAAATAAAAAATGCCTTTTTGAGCATATGCAGAGATATATATAAAAAATTATCCCACTTTGCAGCTTACTATGTGATTTATGACTTATGTTCCTAAACAGTAACACATAACGGCTTTGAAAGATATCTGTTTACATGTATTTACTTGTTCCGTGTATATCTTTTTAACATTGCTATAATTTGCAAATGTTACATTAATAAAATAAAAAATTCCTAAATACAATAATTTAATAGGTCATAGATCTACCAAAGAATGTAACCATTTTTATATTTATTTGGACTTCTAAAAAAAACCCAAAAAACAGCCAGACAAGTTGCTACCCTTTTGTCCTATGAGATTTAAAACCTAAAAATGCATAGAAAATTAACTAGTATCATAGTACCAATTTGCCTTTCCCAGGGTCCTTCTATGTCACAATAAATGTATAATCCAGAATACTTTTCATCCCATGTCCATCTCCCTAGTCCGGAGAGAACATATAGGTCTTGCAGCACGCTTCGAAGGTTAAGACTTGAATCCTGTCCTTCTGTGGGATTATCTATTATCTAGTATAGAGGGAGCAAAGGGTAGCTTAGTGGTTTGAGCATTGGTCTGTTAAATGCAGCGTTGTGAGTTCAATCCTTGAGGAGGCCATTTGGGGCAAAAATCTATCAGGGATGGTACTTCGTCCTGCTGTAAAGGCAGCAGACAGGACTCAATGACCTTTTAAAGTCCCTTCCAGTTCTAGGAGAAAGGCAATCATTTAGTTCTTCAAGGCCATGTGGCTCTACATAGGTGTAAGGATTTGCACTAGGCAAATGTTTTGCAAGATTGGTGGCCATGTGCTTTTGTCATACCAACTCGGAAAGTGATTTCCAGAGTCAAGTGTCCTTCATTGAAACTGAATTGCATGAAGCCCCCCTTGACTGAATCAGGAAACTGCTATTAGTCACTTGAATAACTCAAAATGAACTCAATTGCTGTGGTACCAAACAACATTAGGGGCTCGTCTACACTGGCCCCTTTTCCGGAAGGGGCATGTTAATTTCACCTATCGTAGTAGGGAAATCCGCGGGGGATTTAAATATCCCCCGCGGCATTTAAATAAAAATGTCCGCCGCTTTTTTCCGGCTTTTAAAAAAGCCGGAAAAGAGCGTCTACACTGGCCCCGATCCTCCGGAAAAAGCGCCCTTTTCCGGAGGCTCTTATTCCTACTTCAAAGGAATAAGAGCCTCCGGAAAAGGGCGCTTTTTCCGGAGGATCGGGGCCAGTGTAGACGCTCTTTTCCGGCTTTTTTAAAAGCCGGAAAAAAGCGGCGGACATTTTTATTTAAATGCCGCGGGGGATATTTAAATCCCCCGCGGATTTCCCTACTACGATAGGTGAAATTAACATGCCCCTTTTCCGGAAAAGGGGCCAGTGTAGACGTAGCCTAGTTGTTGTTGACTAGTGTTGTTTTGTTTCCCCTCTAATTTGGTTACCATTCACATTGCAGGGGGAGGAATTGTCTTTTTCCTCACTGAAGGATTTGAAAAAAGTCATATTTTCCACTTGCATATAAGGTTTAAATATATAACTGGAAATAACAGTTAATTTCAATCTGTTGCAGTCAATGAAATTTCACTAAAGATTAATTTAACTTGGTATTTTAAAACCATCTTGCTTTTATGCTGAATATTTAATCAGGAAGTGGGTTTAGGCAATCCCCCTCCACCTCATGAACTGAATAAAGACATCACTGCTAATGCTTTTGACTCTTCATACTGTGCTTTAGTGTATATCTTTCCATTAAACAGCTAAAGTTCCCATGTATAGATGGAAAGTCTTCTGGTAGTTGATTAGTACATATGATCTTCTTTAAAGAATTATTGAATTGATCTATATGGTAATGGTGTTCAGCCATTTGCATTTAAATTAGATGAATTATTTATCAACTATCAAATGTATCCCAAATGCATATCACAGCAGACTAAGTTAATATTTCATAAGATCCCTTTCTATTGCCTTTTCATTTTATATATATATTTCCTGTAAATTAATGACATAAATAATATGTTTTAAATACACATTGAAAAATGTAATGCTACTACAATATTGACCCCTTTTTTGTTTTTATAATTTAATTTTTCAATAGCTGTTGAATTAAAAACCCACACATTTTAGAATAATGCTTGGGAATATTCTAACTGTGAAAAATGGTACCTTTTCCGGAATCAGGCTTTTCATCACAACTTCTTATATATTAAATCCAATGGAAGATAGAATAATAGAAATATAGGGCTGGAAGACACCTGAAGAGTCCCATCTAGTTGTCTCCCATCAAGCAGGCTTAAATACACCTGGATCATCTCTGACATTGTTCTGATATTGTCCATAAGTTTGTTGTATTTTATCATCATTTGCTGTACTATATTCTGAAGTCTGAAATGAACAGTAAGAACATTATTAGCAAGTGAGTTTATTTTTATATTACACACAAATCAGTGTTAAAAACAATTAAGGTTGCAAAGTCAAGAACTAAAATGCTAGGAAATACCAATATTAAGTTGCTTGTTAGATTATCACATTTTTCACAGAACCTCTACTTTATTCAATACGTAGGACTTTGTTATCCATATTATGGCTCCATCTCTTATTTACTGGACACATACATTTTTTATATACTATTTATTGTTATTTTTATCTTCTTGATTGAAATTTAAGTTCAATTAATTTCTTAAAAAACCAAAATTAATTTATATTTACCTATTATAAATATTTGAGGATGACCTATTCCAAAGACCTCATTCAGCAGAATTTTTTGATTTTCACATATAGCATTAAGTATCTCTTTAAAAGTAATTTTACATTAGACGTGAAAAAAAGATATTCACTCTTCAAAACAAGGGCTGTTGGTATCTTAAAATCTCAGCTCTCTAGCTGTACAACCCAAATAAAACAAACACAACATAGTGTTTGCTAGCATTGTAGTTGTTTGAATGCCCATAGGGAACTGAAATTGCCACAAATCCTGCTTCAGTAGTTCTGCTGATTGCCAAGAATCAATTTCAGTGTCCTGCAGTACAAAGCATCAAAGTCTTCAGAGGAGCAAAGGGACAATGAGTGGGCAAATGTTGATATAACATATAGATCTGCTGCTGAAATCCTAATAAATTTTCAATTAGTGGTAGTCCTGAGAACATCAGCTAGAATTTTAAAATAGTTTAAACATATTTGGAGGGGCGTGCTTTTTTTCTTTTCTATAAGTATACATTAAAAGTGCAAAGCAGAGTGAGTAGGCTCAACTCTTGAGCCCAAGAAGCTTGGCCATATCTATTTATAATCTCAATTAATGTATCTTTCTAAATTATATACACTCTGTGGAATTCACCACCTGAACCTAAATAACTCTGATATTAGTAGGTAGCTGTCTATAAAGTATGAACATAAACTAATCTCTAATAAATAGGGATTAGGGAGAGATTTTCTGTGTGGGCAGATTAGTGCATAACTACTGCCTGTAGGTGGTCTTTCGTGTTCTTCTGAAGCAGCTTGTATTGGCCAATTTTGGGAACAAAATGATAAACTAGGTTGAAAGTTGATATGATCCATATGGCATTTACTATGTATCTCTCATCTTAACCATTACAGAACATTGTCTTAACAAACACATAGCCTATGTTTACCCTACAAGGATCTTGAGCAAAAGGGTTTTTTTGCGCAAAACAGAAGCGGCTACAATGCTTCTTGTTGCACAAAAACCCCTTGCGTAAAAAGCCTCCTCAGAAAATATGCTAATGACATTGTGACTCACGCTAATGAGTCTGTCATTAGCATATCCTCTGTGGCAAAAACCTTGTAGTGTAGAGAAAGCCCATAGAGGTTTTTTTTAAAAAAAGTTAGTAAAATATGAAGCTTCTAACTTATTACATTTTAGGCTGGAAAAATGTGTGGAAGCTAAAGAAGAACTGGAAGCAGATCTTTATAAAAGGTTTATTCTTGTGCTCAATGAAAAGAAAGCAAAGATAAGAAATTTGCAAAAGTTGTTAAAAGAAGCTCAGGAACCTGCAGAGGATACAGCACATATAAGGTATTTGTTAATTTGCCTAAAATATTTGGTGTTGTGTCTGACACATATGTAGGTTTAATTTATATTTCCTAAGCTTTAATAGATAGTAGCCTAATTGTTGTTTCAATGTAATCATAATTAATAAATCACTTTTATATAGTGTATTTTCCTTCTCAAGGATTTCAAGTGGTATAAATAACATACAATAAATATGCAAGGGGACATTTCCCTCATTTCTGAGCTAAGTTTGTGAGTTGTGAGACAGCCAAAAAAATGGCCTAGCTTCAAGGTGTTTAATTAAAAATGAACATACAGGTTTCCTAAAATATGTACAATTATTTCTTAGGAGGGCAGAGGTGAAAAGGGATAGTGTTTTGTGTCAGTATACAATAGATTATCATACCCACTTCAACCTGCCTCTTAAAATCTCACTTTAAGTATCTCTTAAAACCTCATTTCCTTCCTCCTTAGAAAAGTGTTATTAGTGAGATGATTGGAAATATTTACTTAAGAAGCAAATAACATTTACTTAGGAAAAAAAATCCAAACAAAAATAAAATCACAGAACTGCCAAGAGATATGCATTAAATCAAGGGCATTGTTTTAATCCATTCTGGCCCCACTTCCTTTTAGTTCTGGCCCCACTTCCATTATCTATCTAGTTGTTTATGTAAGTTGTGAACTCTTCAGGATAGGGACCTTGCATTGACCTCGGTAAAGCACTGTAGATATAGCAGCTATGTTGCAAAAATAGCAGATGGAAAATTACCTTACTGTTTTTCTAGGGATAGCATGGCTACAGTCCAAACTGCTATTGAAAGAGAGCGAGATTATGGTGGCAGCACTGATGAGGAAAGTGAAAATTTAAATCAGCCCTCTACATTAGAATCAGGTAAGACAGAATATGTTGTGTTTATTAGAGTATTGCAAATTGGCCAATTACTTTACACGAATAAACTATAATGGAGACAAAACACTACCTGACACATTGCTTTGTGATATGCCAATTTACAAACATTAAAAAAAAAAAAAGAGACCTCTGATGAACCAGAGTATAATGCAGGCATTTCAAATTAAAGAAAGGAAGATTTAAAAGGCATGTGGAAAAAAAATGAAGGAGATGTCTTGTTTATAAAATGACAGATTACATATTTTGCATAACTAATAGACATCTAACAGTAACTGAACATTTTTATGATGTGAATAGTCAAAAACTACATTTTAAATTCCAGGAATCATTATGTACACATGAGGATTTCTGGAATTTAAAATGCAATTAATTGCTGATATTTCATAGTCTGTTTAAAAAAAAAAAAAGGTTTTAACTGCATTCAGGAGAGTTTTTTGCTCGATTATTGGATTTCACAACAGGAGCTAAACTATTTTTATAACATCCAGCAGAATTCATTGAAACTTACAGGGGGATGCTCTTAGCCTCAGGTTGTTAAATGTGAAAATTAATTGGATTAATCTGCCTAAGACTGGAGAAGTGTGAGTACATAGTACACAAGAATTATCCATTTCACAGTACACTGTATAAAGCGTTGCACAAATGAATTCTCAGTTTGGTGTGCCAAATACTCTGTGCGCAACTCTTTTTAGAGGCAATGCTGTTGGGGCAGATAAACTGCCTTACATTGACAGCTACCATATACTTAATGATTTCCCTTCAAGATTGTTGGGTTTGTATGGTTTCTGTCACCCCAGCCATTTATCTCTACTATAGGATAAGCTAATCAAAGAAAGATATCAGCAGATAACATAGTGCACATGGTTGTTGTGTTCTATGTGCACTAAGGTTTTCAGTCACCTCACTAATAATGTGATTAGTCTTCCCCTCTGTAGTATGGGTGTATCGATTTGTTGAAAACCATCTAATACAATTGACGTAGGTAATAGATTTAGAAAATAGCCAATAGTCTACATTTAAAGTGAAGAAACAATGTGAAGTGCAGGCACTAACCACAGAAATACATTTCTGTTGAAAAGCTGGCATGTAAAGTATCTCTTTAGTTGATAAATCTTTTTTTTTTTTTTTTAATCACTATTTCATCAGTGGCATAGATAATGTCTTGAAAAATACTTCATTTGGTAAAATGGCACAGAGAAGGGAAAGGTCTTCAGATATCAACTTTTTTCTAGATCCGGTAATAACTATTTTGCTAGATAGAATTTGTATGACAGATATCAGGGCACCATTTCCTTTATCTGCCTATCATGGGAAACTGAATTTAATGCCTTGTGTTGTAGGGAGACTAGCATGTGCATAACCTTTTGAGTCATGAAGCATGCTCACGCCATTGCCTCTGAGTCAGATATGTTCAGAATTGCTTTCTGTCACTACACAGAGAAAGGAACACGAATGTGATGTTCAGGTTACAAACTTAAAACTGTTTCAGAGTAATGCATTTTAAAAGTTTTTCATCGCAATGTTAACTCTGTGACACTAAAGACTCTGAGACTCTGAACAGATAATGCTTCCTGGTTCTAGAGACAAGTTTCCTCCATACATGGTTTTCCCTTCCCACAAGAAAAAAAGTGTACTGCCTCTACAGTATTGGCTTCTTTTCCAAGTGACCTACTTCAGGCCTTTAAGACTGTTTAGAAATGTATGCCGGGGTATACGTAGGGACTGAACGTACCCTGAAGAGGAGGTGAGTGGTTTAGCTACACAAAAGATTAAGGCAAGGTATCCTAACATGTATAGACTAAGACAAAAAACTGAGATAAATGACTTATGTAGCACCTTATAGGTTTCATGGTATTTGTTACTTTCCCTTGTAACTTGTTCCTGATATCTCCAATAAAACATCCCTATTCATTATTGTATCAAACCATCTTATCTTGTACTATACTGAAATATATCTGTATTAGGGTGACCAAAGAGCAAGTGTGAAAATTCAGGAGTGATAGACCCTTTAGAAGACAAAGCCCCAAATACACCTGTAAATTTCTATAGCATTAGCTTATGAGCATGTCTTTAGAAGTGTTCCAATAAACACAGGCTAATGTCCAAAATAAATAATAGTGAGCATCTTGCCATTTTCCAGTGCTGTAAAGTGCAAATGTTTTCAGCCTTCTCACTCAGGTTCTCATTGTGAGGATTATATGTTGTGCCTTCAGGAGGTTATGGCCCTTTCCATTTAATTAGTTTTCTTGTGTAGTCCAAACCACCAATGGCTAGATGCTGCTGGTTATTAAGCTTTGATCCAAGTTATTAAAGAAATGTCTGTTATAACAGCACCCAACTGTGCTGCTGCGGTTAAAATGCCGTCTGTCAGGGCTTCTCTCTTAAAGCCTGTTTAAGGAGTTTGGAATTTGGGCATTTTAATTCACTTCAAGCTGAAGTGATCTCCCTTCCCCCTCTCCAGTATGATTGAAATTGATTTGTCCTCTTCTTTTTTATTTTCTTTTTAAAAATGAATTGAATCAATTTTTTCTTTTATGATTTGAGATGCATTTTCCTTAAGTTGTAGTGAAAATCTACTTTCTAATGTAACCAGACATTTTGCAGGCACGTTGGATTTGCATTTGTAAAACTGCTTCCCATTTGCATAAAATACCAGGTCTGTGATTCAAAATGCAGACATACTGCTGCTTTTACAAACTGTATATTTTCCTTTCACAGTCCTATTGTTTCAATGTTCATTAAGGGGAAGGGTTAAGAGAACATAGCTATATTAACATTTGAAAACAGCCTGCTCTGCATACACCTGCCTCTTCTATTGAACATTCCTTATTATGTTGATATTAACATTGTGGTACACTTGCAAGTCCTAATCTCTGAATGAGTTGTTACAGTTTATTGAATAAAACTACTAGAATGTCAATAATTTTCTGTGATTACTGAAAGAACCTTTCACATTACTAAATTTTATGAGTAAGCAAATAAGCAAAGTAGTTAATCACAACATACGTTTTCTTCTTAAACCCTTGTACTCCTAGTGGAGCATAGGCCATCTACAAAGGTACGTCTAGAGTATACATTTCTTTCAAAAGAAGCTTTTTCAAAAGAATCTTTCGAAAAAGCTTCTTTTGAAAGAGATCGTCTCAACAGCCACAACTTTTTCAAAAAAGCAGACCGCTTTTTCGAAAGAGAGCACCCAGGCAATTTGGACGCTCTCTTTCAAAAAAGCCCTGTTTGTGGCCTCTTCCTTGTAAAATGAGGTTTACCGCTGTCGAAAAACCTGCTGCGTTTTTTTCAATTAAATTTCAAAAGAATGTGGCGACAGTCTTGATGCAAGTGAAGTTTTTTTTTAAAAAAGGCCACTTTTTGGGGGGGAAAAAAATGTAATCTAGACATAGCCCAAGTCTTCTCCACTTCATTGTGTCTTGAGACAAAACTTCTAGCTTACTCCAAGAGTACCCCTGTTGTTGTCCTTCAGTCTCAGAAGATCTTCTCCAGGTTGTACAGTCTTCCACTTTTGTGTTTTCCTTGTGGGTTCCGTGTGAGAGCTTGATGGACTATGCTGGGTGATGTGATGGTTTTCTGAGAGTGTTGTCTAGCCATCCCCACTTTCTTCTCTTGATTTGAATGTCAAGTGGTTCTTGTCCTGCTCTGTTCCAAAGCTCCTCATTTGTGACGAAATCTTGTCATTTGATGTACTAGACCATTTTTGTTTAGTTGTGACTGCATTGGTTCATAGCATACTAGCAAATGTTCTGCAGTGTATTTTATAAATCTTAGTATGTTGTAGTGATGGCCCAGCATCTCATTATAGCACTGCCCTGATACATTTTAGAAAATTAGGGAGAAGCCATTGCTTTTTGGTATGCAAATCATGGCAATGGGTGTGTTACTAATTCACTACTTGCCAAGATTCTACTTTGGTACCTGTATTTGTATATCTACTTATAGTGGTATTTGGAAAAAGACCATGAACTCATCAAATTCTGAGGTCCAACCTTGATGCACTTCCATGAATATATTTTATTTTGTCTATTTTAAGACAATATTAAAACAAAAAAGTAGTTCAAATAAAGAAGCAATATAGCTTTTTTGTTGGAGTGAAGAAGAAAAAATTGTATGAGTAGCATTCCTTTTCCTTTAGTATTTCACATGTGTACAATAGTACTAATGACTCTTCTAAACGCAAGCTGACTCTATTTGATAGTGACCTGGAAAAATGAAACCAGAAAGACCTCGCTGTAAGTCATACTTCACAAAGCTAAAAATATACAGTGCTAGTGCTGATTCAAGTGGGTTGTTTTACAGTAGACATGGTTCTGAAACAAAACCTTGAGTCGGAACAGTCCTAAACTCTTGAACAGGATTCATGTTCCAAGCAAGGAATCCTTTTTTAAATAGAATTAGCACTTGCAAAGGTATCCTTTAATCAATGGAAAGAATCCATTATTGAGTTAGAGTGGTTGAGAAGGATCTATAATCCTGTACAACTGGGTAAAGCCTTTGTTTTCAGTCTTTGAAGAAGGTTGTGCATTAGGTGCAATTAACAAAGCCAGACTAAAGTCCGTGGACTAGAGAATCCTGTTTTCTGGGATCTTTAAAATATCAGCATACTCAGCTCTAATTTGGTAGAAGAACATAATGCCTGCAACTGATTGCAATGTTAAAAACAACAATTTTCTTTTTAAAATGAATCCTTGATATAGTGTCTTTTTAGATTTCAGGTTTAATTCTTTGCATGTGCTCTATTATGGCCCTGGTGGTATAGCCTTTTTCACAGAGGGTCCATCAATAAAGCAGAGCTTAACTTGAAATAAGCCTCACAAATTGAGCTACACAAATTGTGTAGCTTATTTCAAAAAAACTTATTTCAAAATTGGGAGGTTCTACACAGCACTTATTTTGAAATAGAGCACCCTTCCTCCAACTTCCCTGACTCCTCATACAATGAGGGTTACAGGAATCAGTATAAGAAGTCTTCTAGC